CCATACCCACAGCTCCAAAGCTACAGTCAGACCATACACCCACACCTATATCCAACATCCATTTTTTGATGATCAAAACGCATTTTCTCTATCACATTAGTTTATTTTGCAATAGAACTTTGAAAACACTTTCAATGCAATAGTTCTCCCAAAGCTAGCCAGACTATATATTGGAATATATGTAAAGCGGGCACGTACTCGTTAAACTGATTTGCTTCAATAGAATAATGAAGAAATAGAACTAAAAAAATGAGGCAAAACAAGATTAATAGAAAATATTTTATTACGAGAAAACAAATTATTTAGGAATGTTTAATGAGGACAATGATGCTGGATAGAGATGTTTGATGCGTGTATGTCATTCCTAGAAAGAACAATAATATGCAATTAAACTTATCAACATTTTCTGAAAATTTTTAGTTTTCATCGGCATTCTCTCTATGAATTATTACTGAAAGGCTAATATTGACACAACATACTTGGCTTATAAATATTGCGAATGATTTATTCATATATTTTATTTTAAAAAATGGTGAATTATTTTGTTAGTATGATCCCGAGTCGTATCGCAAAATAATAATTCAAAATACCACACATGAAAGATTCTATATCCATCAGGGTATCATTCAAATATTTTACTCACATGGAAGCAAAAGTTCAAGTTAGCACTATAGGTGACCAATGCACAGTCAATAAATAACTCATAACACAATTAGGACCGTCAATTGTACCAAATATCTATTCAAATATTTTTCTCGTGGGAAAGAAGAAATCTGAAGTTCGTACAATAATTCAAGATCATAAATAAATGAATAGTTCCCATTAAATTTTTATTCAAATATTTTGTTCATATTGAAGCAAAATTTTGAAGTTTGTCGCATGATCGAAAGTCAACACACAACTGAATAGTTCATAACATAAGTAAGATTCTATTCAAGTATTTTGTTCACGTCAAAACAAATATTGAAAGTTAGTACTTTGACTCAAGAGCACTCCGTCGATCAATACGTCGAAATAGTACTCCAACCTTGACAAATGTTTTATCCAACTAATTTTTTTATGTCGAAATAAAAATGTAAATTTGGTATTAAGAGGGAAAAGTGCGTGGTCAATGAAGAATTCACAAGAGGATACTCATAACATTTATAACCACGAGTAAAGATCTATTCAAAAATTTTGTTCAAGCCGAAGCAAAGATCTGTAGCTACTACTATGTCTTTAAACTAAATGACCAATGAATAATTGATGCCATTTAATTTACAAGTAAGATTCTGATCAAATATTTTGCTTATGTTGAAGCAAAGATTCCTAAGAAGCACTAGGATCGAATAGCACATAGGCAATTAATACACCAAAAGACCAATACCGATACCAGTACTGGATCGACAAGGTTTCTATTCAAATATTTTTTGTTCGTTCAAGAATGAATTTATAAGTTGATACTTCTACCGAAGATCACATAATCTGGAAATCAATGTTACCACGAAGATTCTATTCAACTACTTTGCTAATGTTAAAGAAAAGATTTTCAATCGGTGTTGTAACCGAAAAGTGCACGATCATTTAATATGTCAAACAAACACCTAAGCTAAGACAAAAGTTTTATTCAAATAATTTGACCGCTTCGAATGAAAAATCTGAAGCTTTTAATACGATTGAAGATTACACATACATGAACACCACAAACAAAGTTCCTATTCATCAGTCCTATTCGTTTCGAAGTCCAAATTTGAACTTAGCACTATAAATGAACTGTACACGGTCAATAAATAACTCATATCAAGGTTCTATTCAAATATTTTGCACATGTTGAAGGAAAAACTCGAAGTTTGTACCAGGATCGATCATCACACAGAAATGGATAAGTCATAGTATCAAGATTCTATTCATATATTTTGCTCACATTGAAGTGAAAATCCGAAGTTCGCACCAGAATCGACGACCATACACAAACGAATATTTCATACTATCAAATTTGTATTCAAATATGATGTTCACATAGAAGGAAAGATTTATGGCTGATACTATGATCCTAGATGTGATTCACAT